AAAGGATTCATATGAGGAATCATTTTGGATGTTCAATATGCTGGTCCTAACCCTCTTAGCCAAGGACTAGTGGTTTGGGTCCATACACATGAGCTTCCCAAAAGGAGTCAGGAGACCAAATCAAATGGGTCTTATAAGAAAGTGTGTGTGAGCTAGTCTAACTAAGACCAGACCACCCAGGGTTAGTCCTAAGGTTTGCCCCTCCAATGGGAAACTCCTCTTGAGCTCCTCTATACTGACCTCACCTACTAAGTGCTAGAGGTCAGGAACAACATGTGGAACTTCGAGTTGAGCAAAGAAGAGTTTAGAATTTCTAATGGTGAGGGTTCCTTTTCTAGTCCTCTAGTAATAGTCAACGGAAAAGTCCTATGGCTAGACCTTAGGCTACTAAAGAGGAAAAAACTAGAGCTCAACCAAAAATGACGTCAACAAATGTCACTGAAAATATTTTCATCATCATGTAACTAAGCTCTCATGAATCTGATTAACGTATGAGTCGGAATGATGATTTTATATAAGTTGATGATGGAATGAATGTCTCCAACCTTCAATCATTTTAAACTTAAATGATGTCAAGCTTTGGGTCCATCCCATTTAAAAATGGCCGATACAACTCAAGTGAGATGCACGATCACTGTAAGGATTAGTCTGTCAGAAGCATCTTGACATGCACCTTTCCTTGCCTTTGAGTACTGTCTTATGAGGAAACAAAATTATTTTTAATTTTTTAGCCTGAATGAACATTTTGATCTAGTTTCAAAGATGAAGACATTTCTCAGTTCTACCCATAATCATGATGAAAAGCACAATACTTATTAGGATTGAGTTAGAAACTCTTGGTCTTCATTGGCAGATGTCTCTGAAAGAATTCATAGTTTTGGACTGCCTATACGATCTCAGCTATCGACACTTACAAAAGAGTGATTTCTAGTGTGGAGGGTTGAGGTATTTCCTGTCTTTTCTCTGGCCTCCTTGTGATAAGCCTTTAATAGAAATGCTTCTATTGCTACTATTATTGATGATATCATTCTGGGGCGATTCGATGATCCTATAGTAAGAATCAGTGCTGACTCCCTCCATGTTCACAAAAAAATCTCTTTTCCAAAATTTTTTCTCTGGTTCTCTAGTGTTAGATGGATTCAATAAATAATTGTATTTTCAGACAATATTTGGTCATTGGCCAGCTCTATGAGTTTAACCAAAGTTTTTGGCTTTCTAAGATAAGAGGTATCAGAATGAGCCTGCTCGTAGACCTCTTGTATAAGTGCTGCATGGGCGATAAAAAGCTCATTATCTTTAACATCAAACATTTCCCATTAGAATTTGGCGAAGTTCTCAAACTTTAACATTGCCTGTCAGATATTCAGTAGAGCTTGAAATCTTTATTGTGGTTTATGCGCGCTACCAAAATGGGTTGTGATCATTCTTTTGAACTTACTAAAAGAGGTGATGACTCCTATTGATACGTTATTGAACTAAAATAGAGACAATTCCTTGAGAATTTTAATAAATAAATGATACTTAAGGGTGCTGTTTATTCATAATAGATAGACTGCTGATTCAAAAGAGGATTCATGATCAGAAGGATCATCCCTCCCTTTGAAAGAATCCAAGGAAGGTGTCACAGACCAACTCGATGCAACCTGTTGAAGCAGGCCGCCTCATTTCAAGGTTATAATAGTTAAATTATTACCCAAGATATATTTAGAGGAAATCTTTATAACTTAATTTTCCTTAATTTTTATATACACTGAGCCACTGATATCATCAAAATATTATAAGATAAAAAGACCCTAAATTCATTCAGCTCATATCACAAATATACAACAAAAGAAAATATAGACATTAATCATAATATAATATCTCTATCATCAAAATGCATATATCATCATGACTGTAAAAAATTAAATATAAAATACATACGTAATATCAAACCCTCACTAGTAATCAAAATGTCTCTACTTTACCCAAGTTTTTCCCTTTCGGTAAATAACATATGTATGTAAAATAAGGGTGGCAACAATAGCTCAGTACGCTACTGAAAATGTATTGTAGTTTTCAATATATAAAAATCTAAATATTTACTTAAAGTAAATAAATTGAATATGAAAATCATCATGTATATTATTAATGATAGTGTTATCACGAGAAAATATTACCATAGTAAATATATTTAGTCTAGCAATATATGCAACATGATATCTAAAATACAGTAAAAGAAAGTGAAAGAAATGCATTCTTTATTTGACTTATTTTTATGATTTTCCCTTTGCCATTTATACATCCACTTATACGTCAACCCAATCATATTCCTTCCATACCCTTTTTACTTCACTTTTACTTATGCCTCTACTTATTCACATTTATTTAAACATATCAAATGCACAAATGAATAATTACATAAATGCATAAGTCCTTGTAACTTTATTTCATTGCATATAACTTACAACCCATCAGTCACAATCTTCTGTGTTTTCTCCATTTTTATAATTTTTACACATATTTTTTATACATAAGCATATAAATACTAATAATTTTAGCATATACAAATATGACAACATATTGCAGAAATTAATATAACCAGTTGAAACAATTAATAACATAATTTACACAAAAAATAAATATTCACATATCAACGATGATGATAAAGAAATTATTTATATACATTATGCACGGTAATACTTCAAGCTTTTCTTACTTTACATTAAATTTTATCGGGCTCAATGCACATGCTAAAATATATAAAACATTATACAACATAAAATGTCAAATGAAAAATAAATTTCTATATCGACTTATTTAGTGTAGTCTAATCAACTACATATAAAAAGTTAAGTGATCAAAGGATTGTGATTCACTGTTGACCTGAGTTTTTATGAAATTTTACCAAATTAAATGTCCAAATTTTATGAAAAAGTAATTGAAATAAAATATAAAGTAGGGTGTAGTATCTTACCTAGAGACAGGCAATTCTTCCAACTAGCCCAACACATGAAAACCACTCTAAGCCTTCCAAAATCCACTTTCTATCTCAAAAAACATTTATTTTTCCTCTCTCTCTTCTTACACTTTCTCTTGGAAATGGGAAATGAAAAAAACATGGAATGGAAAAAATGGAGAATTATATTTATATAAATATATGATTTTTTTTTAAATTAAGGATATAAATATAATTTTTTAAATTGGTGCATTTTATATATACTTTTTTATAAATCTATTTACATATTGAAATATAGGATTCCAAAAATTATCAAAAAAAATAGTCACTAAATAAAAAATCATGTGGAACCATTGGATAAAACGGTCAATAAATTATTTGAATATAATAAAGTCAATATCATGTAAGTGAGATTTTGTCCAAGTCAAAATTATTAAAATCAACAAATTATTTGAGAACAATATTAACTCTAAAAATATCAAGAAAATTAATTAACATATATGATTTACAGATCACAATATTATGCCACAGCGGATGCACTAGTATACTGCAATAACAATCGTTATAGAAGGAATTTTGAATTTTCTTGGGGGTTCCGCTTCAACAATTTATCTAGAATGTACATTGTCTAGTAATCTTCTTCCTTATCTGCTCCTCCTCTCTTCATCATCCAAGAATTTTGGAGTCTCCTCTCCAAGGACATGAGACATCATTATCATATTTTTCTTTTTCTGGTGTTGTAGCTCGGGCTCTTCTTGCTCTAGTTCACGATAATTCTTCTATTTGTGGGCTTTGTCTTTGTGGTCCTCACCTTCACATCATTGTTCTTGAAGATTTGACATGACTTTTTGAATGGCTTCTAGGGTGGGTTCTAGACACTTCTTACCTTACTTCTTCTATAATTTTTGTGCATGTGCTCCTTCAACTAAGAGTTTCTTTGTTGGATTTGGGTAAGATATTCACACTTATCTCATCTTTTAGGATGTTGAATCCGTTTAAAACGTATGATATCATATAATTTGTGAACCCGTATAATCTGTGAACCCATATAATTGGAGAGAAACTTTGTGAAAGATGTGGAAGGAAGTTAAGGAATTTATAGAGAGAAAGAGAGTTAGAAAGGGCTAGAGTCAGATCCCCATTCCTCTCCCCTTTTACTTCCTATTTATACGCCATAAAGTATATGCACTCTCGCAGAGGTCAAAGGAATAAAATGAAATAAAAAACAATGCTATAAGTTGTACAATATGGAGCCTGAGTAAGCTTGTTGTGGATAAGATTCTTGGTGTGGGCATTAGGCGACCAATAAATGGTTACATACATGATGATGAACTGGAGTTCTCTTCATTTTTGCCTCAAAGAACTGTTCACGCCACTCAGTGATGCATCTAAGTAGCTATAGACGATCTTAGTAGAAGGAATAAACTAATACAAGCAAGCTTAGAAGAAGAATTAGGAAAATGTAAGTGATTTTGGTTGAAGGAACTCGCTTAAAGGCTTAAGTTTAGCGTGCCCAATTAGAGGAACTCACGTAAATGCTGATAAACTTTGAAGGTACCGGTAGGGACCTTCTGGGCGGCAAGAAGGTGTGTTGTTTGTCACCTACAAAGATAAACTAACAAGTACAAATAGCACTGTCGATCATTAAGTGCATTGTTTATGGGGTCGATCCATTAGGCCCATGAAACCCATTTAATAGCTGAATTTTCATGCTGCTTGAAGAAACTCAATTTTGAATATACAAACACATTTATATTTGATTAATAATTACATGAATAAATGTTGAATATAAAGATAAATGATGCCAAATAATCATTTAGATGCATTAATCTAAAGAATTTCTGACGTGATTTTTGTCCCCTCCCATTCATTGGTTGAAGAAAAGTTCCTCTCATATATCTTAAGAAAATTTTGAAGGAATTTTGCTAAATACACTTAAAATTCAATTTTAATAGAAGGTCAAAGCTCATTTATGAAAAACACTTAAAAATTCAATTTTGATAAATAAACAAAACTCAATTACTTTCCACAGTAAATTTTTTTCTTACATATTCAACGCTGAAGCACTGGAACCAGCAACACAATAGCAGGAAGTAAAATGACATCTGCACTAAAAATTTTATGAAGGACTCATCCCCAAGCTCATCTACTTAACTTGCCGAAGCTCCCCACACGAACATTTTGCGTACCGACGTGTAAATTTTAAGTGTGTTGATTTGAACCGATGGAACAAAAATTAAAGTGGGTCTCATTCTAATAATAAGAAGAATAAAAAAGATGTATTTTAGTGGCCTTCATCGATCACCTCACATAAATTTACGTTCCGCAATAATCGCCCAAGGACCAAAGCCTACCGTCCCGGGTTTGCCGTCATCGACACCGCCACCGTGCCGCCGTTTATATCCTCTCCTGATTCTTCCCCATACTTCCCACTCTGTAGCACCAACACCGACGACCTCGACCCGAAATCCGGCGAGGCCAGCAAATCCCCAATCGGCCCAAGCTCCTCACACTCACTCCAGTCCTTCAAACCCGCCGTAAACGGCGACGACATACCTTTTCCAATCCCAACAATATACAAATCATAACGCCCCTCCATTTCCCTCAACATTGCCACCGTTTCCTCCGCATTCCCCACCATCCTCTCCACATACTCCGCCTCTCCACCACCACCCGCTTGAAACTGCGCCAAGCATTCGTCATCATTCTCTCCAGCCACATCCACCACCGGCGGGGGGGAGCCGATGCAGGGAAGGAAGCGCACCACTGTGAGCGCCACGCCCGGATGGGTAGCGAGGCGGTCGGCGTAGGCGAGGGCCTCTCGGTCATCGGGGCCGCCAATGAAAACGAGTGCAACGTTGTAGCGCTGCGCACGGGCACCTGTGCCGGCGAGGCTTCGGTCAATGAGGATGCCGACAGAGCAGGAGGCGCCAGCGAGGACGTTCTGGTTTAGGGTACGGATGGCTGGGTGGGTTACCTCCATGGTACCATCGATGGTCTGGTGCTTGTGGAAAGGGAGCAGAATAAGGGCGCAATGCTTGTCTTCAGAGAGGGCGATGATATCTTCGTGCATGGAGGAGTATTGGGAGAATGCTGTCAGGGACTGAACAGAGACTCCGCCGGCATGTTGCTCGTATGATTCGAAAGCGTGGGAGATGTGCTCGGATTCGGTTTGGTGGCGGATGAAGCCGCCGCCGGCATTGGGGGCTGCGCGATGGGAGTCGAGGGTGGTGGAGGAGGAGGAGGCGGAGGAGTTGGTGTTGACGACAAAAAGAGTGGATGCGCGGCCGGTGAGCTCGACGAGATAGAGAGAGTAGAGGAAGAAAGGAGAGCGCTTGGTGGGGTGGGAGATGTCGAGAAGGGAAATGAGGGAGGGGACCTCGCGGGAGGAGTGGGCGCAGACAAGCATGCGGAGTTCAGACTCTGGGTTCCACCAGCGGATGGTGCGGCGCTTGTACGCGACGAAGCGACGGGAGGGCTTCGCGGCTACCTTCACCAGCGGACTGATCATGGTGGTGGTTACGACGGAGATTATTACTAGGATTGTGAATGTCTGATCGCGCAGCACCTGCGATTGTCGTTCAGGTAAAATGGGTTAGAATAGCTCTGACTTGGGAAGTTTCAAGGAAATTATACATTTTTTATAGCAATTAAATATATGAAGATGGATAATTTGGATTCATATGTTTAGTTAAGAACTGAAAATTTCTGTTATACAGTACATAAGATGTTTATTTATCAACAGCAGGAGAAATATCATAAAATGTTAGTAAGTGTTAAATTTGTAAGCGTTTATGATAAGTAGTTCAAGATGTTATAAGAAGAGAAATTTTAAATAAGTCTTAAAATTATTACATTTTTTTTAGGATTGCTTAAACATAAATTTTAAATTAATTTCATGTATTGAACTCGAATCAAAATAAATTTAATATCTTTGATTTTTTTTTTTGTTGGTAAAATTTTGATCAGAATTAGCGGTGTAAACGAGCCGAATATGAGTGAACTCGTGTTCAACTCGTTTATATTTTGAGCTCAAACAATGTGTTCATGTTGTTCGTTTTGACAACTATAATCACATGGTCATAAGATATTAAGAGTTGGGGCAAGTATTAAAACGTCATTTGAATCTAATTTAATAATTTTTATTCTATTTTCTTAATTAATATTTTTAATTGATTATAATTCTTTGTAGCCTTGTAGTCAATTAAATTTTTTAAAAATACCACTCATCAATATATATATATATATATATAATTGATGAGTAGTATTTTGAGCCAAAACGAGCGGAACACGAACGAATAAATTTTTGTTTGTGTTCGGCTCGTTAACATAGCGAACGAGCCAAATACAAACTTCTTAACGAGCCGAACACGTGTTGTTCGTGAACAACGAGCCGTTTTGACAACCCTAATCAGAATAGTGCCACATAAAATTTTATTATTATACAATGAAAGGCTTTTATACAACTATATGATAACCAAAAAGTGATGATTATAGATTTTAAAACTCTTAAATTTCTTTTAAGATAAGAATAATTTTTAAACAAATATATTTTATAACATATCAAAATCAATTCAAAATTTTGATATGTATATTTTTAAAAATTTTACAAACATATCACATAATTATTATGTATTTCTATATCTAACATTTAAAGTTTCATAACATTTATAATATTTTGATGTTATATAATTATACATGAAAATATATATATATATATTTATGATGATATTTTTAATGTGATGATAAAACTTTATATGTATTATATGATATATTATAGCGCACCCGCTTGTCCCAACCAATGTTGAGCATGATGAGCTCAATAACCCCTTTGGTGTTCAGAAGTAATCCCAGTGATATCCCGTCGCGGAAAGGCCTCTCCATGTAAAACGATGCGAGCATGGAGCCGGCGACCTTCGTCATCATCGCCGCCAACACCACTATCAGCAGCAACCAAGCCGCGCCGGCATCCACAATGCTAAACAAATTAGTCCTGAATCCACTAATGGCAAAGAAAAGTGGCAGCAGCAACCCTTCAATAAAAGCTCCAATTTTGTCAATAAGGAGCTCACCAAGCGGCCCATTTGGCACGGCCAACCCATACACAAACGCCCCAAAGATAGCATGCGTCCCAATAGTATCCGCCGCAAACGCCGCCACCATCACCCCCACCAATATCACGCACAGGTGAAGCTCCGCTACCTCCTCCCCTTCCGGCGTCCTCTTTTGCACCCACCTAGCAGCCCGTCTCATAGCCATGTATACTGCAACGCTAAACAAACCGCCGGAGACCACCGCCCATATCGCCGACAGCGCCTTTCCTTTGCTCTGAGCCAGCGCGGTGGAAAATATCATGAGCACCCACGCCACCCCGTTCATGATCATCGCCGATGAGAGCACGAGCCGGCCAATATCGGAAGCCATCAGTTTTAGATCGGCGAGAATTCTGGCGAGAACGGAGAAGGAGGTGACGCAAAGGATGCTACAGAAGAACGTGGCGAACGCGCCGCGGTTGGTGCCGTCCTGGATTCGACCATGGAGCATGAGGCCGGCTAGTATGCCGATTAGGACAGGGCCGATGAGGGCGGCGCAGGTGACAAAAATAGACCGGCGAACGACGCGGCGGACGACGTCGGGGTCGATCTCGACGCCCACAATGAACATGAAGAAGACGAGGCCGATGGAGGACATGGAATCGATGACTAGCAGGCTGCGGAAAGGGAAGATGGTGAGGGCGAAGGCAGGAAGTCTTCCCATCAACGTGGGGCCGAGAATGAAGCCTCCCTGAAACAGAGCAAGTTGGAATTTTTAAAAAAAATTATCAAAAAAAAAAAAAAAGAAAAAAAAAGTTAGTAGGAATTAATTACCAGGATCTCGGAGATGTATCGGGGCTGGCGAAGCGGTCTGAGAATCATGGCGGTGATGCGACTGGTTAGCAGAATTACAAGGAGCTGGAAGAGGAAGATGGGGAAGGTGAAGTCCAGGGGATTCTCATCCTGAAGCATTCCGTTCAGGGACATCATGGTGGCGGCGTAGCAGACAAGAGGGGTTTCCGAGGAATTCCCGGACGCCGCATCGGCGAGGTATTGGACGGGGGTGTACCCCATTAACGAGCTTTCCTTGAGGAAAAAAATGGAAACTTTGGTGCAGGGAAAGGGTGAATGCGGGGAGAACAGGGATGAATCAATCAGTTTCTTCTAGTAATCTGAAAGGCAATCTGAATTTAGGTCCGTCGTTTTTGTACAGGGGAAACGGAGGATGGAAAGAGAGAGATGGTGATTGGTGGAAGAGAAGGCGAGGCGGACTGGTCAAATAATTTGCAGTCGGAGTTTCACCAGGTGGAATTCATTGCTATTTTTTTCACTGGTCGTTAGGGTTTTGAGGAGAAAGAATCGGAGGATGAGAAAATTAATGTTTTTCTTAAAAAAATATTATTGTTATTTATTTTTTTTAAAAAAGAAATACATATTAAATAAATATATAACACCAAAATATTAAAAAAATTAATTTTTTTAATTTATTGTTAAATTAGTAAACAATAAATCATAATCATTAACAACATTTTTTCCTATAAAAAATTCAGTTAATGACCATTGCAATCATTAACAACATTTTTATTTTTTTTTGGAAATGAATCATTAAAAACTTAGGGCAGCATATTATTTGATAGTTGACGCAAGTTAAAATATGTTTTTTTGAAATTTGTCTATGAAAGTCATTAGAAAAATAATTTTTAGCTCCCATTAATAAGATAATTTCTTATAAATGAGAATATTATCTGACTATAATATATAACAATCTTCCTTAAAACTAACAAGTTTTAATTAATTGATTAATTTCCTTTAGGGTGAGTGCTTGAATCCAAAATCTTAGGTTATTCATTTTATTTTCAACCAATGTCCAACACAGTTGAGCACTTAAATCTAACATGTCTTTGGTAAACTACGTTAGTTCGTCGATTTTGGTAAGCCTGTATTATCTTGCATTTAGTCTAGTATTGTGGTTAAGTATTGTTCTTATATGGCAGGATTTATTTCTTTTGCTAGGTGTGTTAATATGTATGGTTCCGTTAATTACACCTTCTTTGTTTCATTATTATGGCTATGTGGAGGACTAGATTTGGCATAAAAAGTTAACCAATGAGAAGCGACTGATTGGGGAACTAAGTAGTCATAAATAACAATGCCAATATCACGTTTAACTTTATTTTGATTTAGTAATATTTTTAATTGTGAATTTCAATCATGTTTAAGTGGGTTGTAATTTTCTTAGTCTGATAAAGTTGTAAGTAGCTAATTTTATGTGAAGTCCTGTTCTTATAAATTTCACTTTTCTTTACTTTGATAAACTCTTTCTTTTTCTTTCTAAGTCTTTTGTTATTTACTTGCTAGTTGATTTTGCTAAAATTGATGTAAGTATAACTTTATTCAATGTGAAAATTTTCAATTCCTCTCAAATTTTGTGTGGTTTTAAATTTTTTATTTGTTTCTTTGATATATTTGATGCACAAACTTGAAATAAAGAAATGCATTTTCTCTCTCATATCTCTCCTCTAGACTCTCTCTAGATACAATTTAATTTCAAAGACAACTTCAAGGAGGAAAAGCAATTCATTGCATTCGAGATAATCATCATAGATTATGTTGTTATGTTTGGGTTCCAATATATGTATTTTCTAGTTTGCAACTAAGGAAGGTGAAGTTTTGATTATTTATGATCTTTTTTATTTTAATCCTAATTCTTTGTGTTACGCACACACTCACACAAACACACAGACACACACATACATACATGCATTGCATAATTGCAATTGCATTAGATAACATAAAATCAGTTGTCCTTAAGAAAGTGAAATTTTCTTGTTTATTTTAGACCAACATAATACTCATATTAATCACTCGTTATTTTAATGTAGACTTTGTTTGATTTAAATTTGATAAGTTCAAGTACTTAAATGGAATATGCATGCAACTTCTAACTTCTAAGATTTAGGATATATAAAAAGTGTGTGGAGATAGCACACCAATTGTGATTATGTACAACTCGATGAAGTGATGAATGTTTCTAAATTTATTTTTAATGGGATTTTGATGTTACCTTTGTATAGATTATATAATTGAACTTGTTTTTTATATAAAAAAAATTATTTATAAGATTGACATGAGTGATTATATTTTTCTTATGATAGTTTTCTTTATTTGTGAGTGTAACTTGATAGGTTTTATTTTTTTTAGTATGTTTTTCATATATGAAATGACACTCAATTTTTTTCTTCTAATTAAAAGCTTACCAATATTATGTCTTAAATTTTATCTATACTTCAAGTCTAAAGATCACTTAGATGTGTTATTTTATCAAACTAGGATTTAATGGTGACAAGTTTGAGTAGGCTTAAAAACTGAGTATATTTTATGCTCCTTCCCTCATTATCTATGCATACAAAGGTAAGGTTTCTTACTCCCTAATGTCCTACTGCATCCTTCTTCTATCTCACCTCATCCTTCTCCTCAACAAACTCAAAGCCTAAGTTAATGGTAGGCCCTTACTCTTCGTCTTTATTTTCATTCGCTCATAATGTTTCTTGTGAAAAACTTTAGTACAAGATTGTTTAGAGCATTTATTTTTTTGTGCGAACATTTATTTTTATTATTAATGATGGGATGAGCTGACATATAACTAATTTTGCTACTGACAACAACTTTTTTATATACCTAAAAATACAAGAATTTGACACCACTACTAGAAGATTTAAATCCCCGGCAACGACGCCAAATACTTGATGCGACTTTTAATATGCAAGAATTTATGAACCCATATTTATATATTTATAATGATTTTGTAAAGTCACAATTTCAAACGCAAATATAAGTATCGCTCAAGTAATATAGGGCTCTAGTGGAGTCCCGTTTATCGATCCCACAGAGAAGCTAGGTAAGAGGTCCTTAGTCAAATTCTAATCTACTACTATTAGTCCTTCGTTTGGAAGTGCGATTTAAGAGGTTTTACTAACAGATACTTCTAAATGTAAGTCTTAAGTTTAACACAGCTAATAACTACTCCTAAATGCAAATATTAATTCTAAAGATAACCTTTTTTGGATGAATTGGTTTGGAGAATTTTGAGATATTAAAAACTACTATTCTTATGTAATGAATTGCATAATGTAAATGAATGAGATGCATTAAATATTGTGTTTGTCAAATAGGAGCAATCCTATTCCTTACCCTTTGGTCCAGGCATAAAGAACATTGACTAATCCTATGCTTGTTTACTGAATCCGTAGCTAGGCTGGGAGGATACCGGCTCTCACTTCGGAGCTCCCACGTTCCCCTCGTCTGAGGGCTAACATCTCCGCTTCAGTTTCCAAACCCTAGGACCAAATTGGGGATTTTAGTCTGTCACCTTAAAATCTCCAATTCTACGCCCATCAAAGTATATTTCCCTATTTATTTGCACTCAACTCCCATGAATGTCACCATCCATAGAATTTGAATGTGGTTCCACTTTGTTGAGAATTACACCGCCCTTTCGGATCAATGAAATTACAATAAATTTTAACACTACAACGGACCCTTGTTATAATGTAAATGAAATACAAGTAAAAACCACTACATTTATAATTAAATCTTCTTCTAACAAGCATCCCAAAATCCTAAACATGAATTCTGCTCATTTCAGAAGAAAAATAAAGTGAAAATAATGACATAATCTTCCCATGCCATGATTTCCAAAGAAGAAGAAAGTGTAAGAGAAGACCATCACAAAGCACAAAGAAAACACAACGGAAACTTCATTTAACCAAAGCAAATCCACTAGATAAGTGTTTATAAAAATTGTTTATAAAAATCAAATAAAAATCAAAAGATAATGAAGAACACAAAACTTAGTTTTTTCCCTTTGAAAGAAAGACGTATAACTCTCCCACAAAGTCTCTCGCCGATCCATGCAATGCTAGAACATCTCCTTAAAAATTCTCTCAAAATCTCCTCTCCAATCTCTCCAAAAGGGTAGAAATCTACATTTCTACTCCTATTCTAAAAACCCTAAACTTTCTTCACAGTTTTCCTAACATTACTCTCACAAAAAAAAAATTTCTAACATAAATTCATTAAATTCGTTCTTTTAAAGTGTAGGGACGAAGTTTGAAGAGTTGCCACAAGAATTCTTTCAAAAAGCGTCCAAATACGTCGAATCTGGGCCCATAACCGCCAATAGTCGGTCCAGAATTTTCCCGGGCGCCGTCGGCGGGCTCGAGTTCGGTCTTCTCGGGAAATCTCGTAGTCGGCGAGCTCGAGGGCGCCGTCAGCGAGATTTCTGCGCAGCTCCATCGTTTCGCTTTGTTTCGCTCCGTTTTAGCATTGTTTCGCCCCATTTCAGTTGCGTTGTGTTCCTAACAGATAACCCTACAAAATAAGCATGAAAACAAAATTCTTTTAAAGTATAATCTCATTCAAAAATATGCAAGAAGTGTAAAAGATATTAAACATCGAAAGACTTATCGAAAGGTGACAGGACAAAATTTCATTTCTGCTCATTTTTGCTCCAAATTGCACCGTTTTTGTTTCTTTTTCTCCAAAAATCCATTTCTTATACCTGAAATCAAAAATATGCAAAATACATTCCTTTAAAGTGCAATATCATTAAAGTTAAGCATAAAATTTATATGAAAAATCAAGCATTTTTTAGGCGGGTCACCTACCTCCCTTCACCTCTTCTTATTGTGACATTTACTTTTATCTTTATAATTCTAACCTAAATAATATGAGTAGAAGTATATATAATTAATTTATAAAAAACTTTTATATTAGTTGTATATAATAGCTTAAAAGAGATAGTTTTCTATAAAATAAGAGAGTATCTTATTTCTTCACATTAAATTTATACTCTAATCATCTTTGGCGTTAAAAAAAAATCAAACTTTTATCTTTATTCATAAGCAGTAACAATAAATTCTACTAGTGAGCATCTTAATCATTGCTCCTCCACCACAATATTCTTGATGTTCTCTCCATGATAATTTCAACAAACCTCCTCTTTAATATATGAATAATTTCATAACCTCGATATTCTAAATAAACTACATATTTAATTATAGTTTTCTATGTTAGGGCATTCTTTTAAGGCAAGTGTAGTATTCCATGTGTAGTACATTAAAAGTCATGTTTCATTTATGTTTCATGTTTTTCATATACCAAGTTTAGTTTCTTCTGCGTGTTAAACAAACTAAAATAAAAAAAATGAATAAAAAAAGGAGGAGAACCTCTCACATGTTGTTTCTCTCCTTAAACATTTAACAAGACACATAAAACTTGAGGAATGCCCTAACATTAAGTAACTCATGATTACCAACAAAAGCATTTGTAACAGCCTTAAAACTTAGCAACCCTTCG